TTTGTAACACAAAATATATAATCAACACATGTTTCGAGTAAATGCTCTTGACTTCAATATAATCAACACTATATTTGATAAGAAATGTCAATCTTTTAGTGTATTCAACCGCTCGGAAACCAATTCGCACCGATTCTTCTTATCTCAAATATAACAAAAACCATTTTACAAACAAAATTTGACCATTTATTAACTTTTTGATTTATATTTTTACTTTTTTAATTAAAAATTTAATATGAAAACTTTTAGAATATTTTTGAAATATATAATTAATTTGTTTTAATAACTTATTAATAATAAGTATATAAAACATTTAAACATTTACACTGTTTCTCAGTTTGGAAATGACGGCAAAAGTTGAATGAATAAACAAAATGCTATGATATTGACAGATAAGACAACATATTTTGTTAATAAATGTCTTCATTCATTCACTTATTATCAATGCTCTAAAGTCTTTGAAAAGACCGTTAATTTTACACTATATTTACATTATTTCAATTTGTAAAATGCATTTTAAAATGTCTACTTTAGACTAAACACAAATTCTGCATTAACAATATTTAGACCTTTCTTATAGTTCCTTGTTCAATTTTTAGTATTATAGTTTATTAAAATTTCTTTTTAAAATTTATAAATATATTATAGATCATTATTGGTATTTCGGTGAATACTTTTATATTAACAATTTGTAAATTATAAAATTTACTGTTTTAATAAATATAAAGTATATTTAAATAATACAGATTTAAATCGACAATTTTATTAAGCTAGTATTTTATTATTTGTTGGCAACAAGCAAATAAGAATTAAATTATGATTTTAAACTACACTTTCTTATGTAACTATTCATTAAAATTACAAAAAATATCTTTCAAAATCAATAATTGATTTCCTGTCCAGCACTTCGGGAACCCCATTGACGTCATTTGCAAATCAATATATTTTCAAAACAAAACTGTTTTTAATTTCTCATTTAAATTGCGAAAGAATGCAAAGATTCCTATCGAATGACATAATATATCTTCGCGTGATATTTAGACATGACTTTTGCGGATGATTTGAGAATTGATTTAATATTACAGAACTCGAGGCAATTTAAACCCGAGGTAATGTAAACCCTCTGTATAAACTGTACATACATTCACGTGATATACTGTGCGTAATGTATGGTAGGGTTTACATTACCTCGGGTTTGAATTGCCTCGAGTTCTGTTAACATCACATATATTTGGCTCAAAACCAATTCTAATAAACATTTTAATAAATTGGCCCCCAATTCAGAAATCCCAGAGAAAAACTTTCCACTAAACCTAACATATTATAAATATATTTCTCATTACTGTAATTGTATTTAAAAAATATTTAAAAAATTAATCAAATAATGGAAACGACATTCAAATATACGAAATTATAAAGAATATGTTTATATGAACGGAAGGATCTTTGTACTAGTACATTATATTTTTGCTGACTTTGACTAAAAATATATACAAATCCGAGAATTAATATAAAACAGAATACTCTGAAAAATAAGGTGTTTTGAAATATAATGATATATTTGTGGGTAAATCTGTTCATTCATATATTTGATATGTTATACGTCTGTACGGCGAGAATAATCATCAAACAGATTCAGACCACACTTTACTTCAAGTCATATCACTTTTTTTTGTGTATCGATAGCTAAATAGGTTAACCAATTGAAAGCCTTAATTGATCTGAACTTTTCCAGCAATAAAAATTTTTTAACACTTGATATTTCATCACATAATTCGCTAACAAGTGTTGGTCGACAAGTCCTTCAATCAGGACTTCAGACTCGTGTTTGTTGTTTGCGAGACACTCCTAGAGGACACTCTTCTCTATTCGTTATCTCACACCCGAGAGTGTGTGTACTCTCTCTTACTCTCTATCCCTATATATACGGTGTGTATATATTTAGGGTTTAATTCTTCAGTTGCAAAGTCATAAACGATATTGAATTCAGTCTTTACAGACCCAAAAACTTTAACACTTTTTTTTAAATTAAAGTCTATATTTAAAGATTGTCTAAAAGTTTTTAACTTTTTAATCAGAAAAACGTCGATTAGAGAAGAAGAAGAACTATATCTTAGATAAGAATATGAAACTAATTATTTCGATAATTTGTTTAATATTATCGTTTGAAACGATACGAACTCAAGCCGTACCGCCGAGTGCTCCACATATTAATACCGGTAATTAATTTTAACTTTTTATTATTTAATTTTGTATATTTAAAATGAATTGTAAAAAAATAATAAACGATTTTCTATGTATAGATTGTGGGCAGAACTCGACGTTCAAGCGGTGTCTGACCCGATGTCCGGTCACGTGTAGTAATTACTCGAACCCACCGAAGGGTTGTGTTAGGAATTGTGCGATCGGTTGTGAGTGTCATCAGGGGTTCATTAAAGTAGATAAGGGGGCCTACAGTCAGTGCGTCCGCCCCTTCGAGTGCGCACTGTATGGCAAAAAACCCGCAATTTTGGCCAAAAAGTTATTCAACAAAAGCATTTGATTGCGATTAACAACCATTTAATTGGGATTAACAACCATTTGATTCTCTCACACCAATCACTCCATGCATTACATCCAATGATTTACTAATTATACTTAATTTAATGTTTTTTATTTGTTAATCGGTGTTACGTTAAACTCATTTTTCTCAAAAGTTATTGTTTTCATTACACGGAATATATATTGTAATCACTGAGAAGTTTGTTCTCATTTCTTTCAAACCCTTATTTTGTTTTTTATGATAAAATTTAATTTCATTTTCTATCGTTAAATCTTTATAAGGTTTGAAACATATTCTGGTTATTAAATAACTTTCTCTGTTGTTTGTTTTTTCATGCAATTAATTAAATTATTTCCCATTTATGCCAATCGTATTACAGAAATTGTAGAAATAAATGCAAGAAATAAAAAGTTAAAATGTCTTAATAGATATGAATTAAACTCATTGTTTCCCAAAATAAAACTAATGGTAAACTTGTTTACTCTATACTCGACATGAACTTGAAATTAATCGTCAATTAAAATATCCATTTCTTACATGAAAAGGAAAATCATATGTAATATACAATTCCTTACATTAAAATGTCGTTTAAGAAAATACTGAAAATCTCAGTCAATATCTTATTTTTCCTAATTATTATAAATAGATAAGCGTTTTGAAAGAAAACTTCATTCAATAAATTAAAACTGAAAAAATATATTCAGATAACCTTCAAGTCTTGTTACTAACCATTTTTTGTCTTCACTTTTCATTTCCATTTTAATGGCATTATTTTGTGCGAAACTTTTTCTTAAACTATCGCTTAATGAATATTTAAGCGACGGTTGAAACGGAAATTTAAAAACATTTTTAAATTTATGCAAAGTTTTGTATCTTTTATTTTGTTTTTCGGTTCATTTGTTTATCAGTATTTAAACACAAGAATAATATTTTCATTTGTAATTTATTTTCTGGTTTTTATCTAAAAGCATAGAAAGCACTATTAAGACTAAATTTATCAATTGATTAATGAGTTAATTAAGGAGTTGTTATTAGTTATGAAAGCATTTCGAAAATTATGTTATTTTCAGACTTTTGAAACTCATGTCAAACATAAATATTTTCATAAGAAATGATTGATTCGTTTGTTGATTCAACACAGAAAACACTGCAAATTAATGATTAAATTAATTTAATTTCTAAGTCAGGAAAAATGTTGGGCTAATATCGGAAAATCCAAATATTTTTAGTATATGTTAAGTGAAGAAATGAAAATTAGTGTAAAAATGTGTTTACTAAATGTGTTTATATAAATCTCATATAATTTACAAAGTAATGAATTCTTTAAATAATTGACAATTGGATTGTCTTTCACTAAAAATTAGTTTACAAATTAATTTAACACTTTATTTATATCATAAGATTCTTGTATAAAGAATGGCAGGAAATACGTGACTAATTATAAATAATAATTAATTAACTTGTCCATGGTCATTTAGATCAATTCACGTAGTCAATATCAAACATGAATTTTATATATTATGGTTAATCTGATATTTTAAATGGTTTATCATTTCATTAATGTCTTATGACTTTGTTTTATATCTATTATAAGGAATATAAACATTTAAAATATTCCTTTAAAAACATTATATCTAAATAAATATTACTTTAATTTTTGTATATTTTAATTTTAATAGTACTACTATTTTATGACATCATAATAAGTGAATGAATGAATAAGAGAGAGAAACTATAAAACAGTGAACTCAAGCAGATTTGTGATACCGTTATAATAGATATAATCTCT